TTTTTGAGAAAATTTTACAACTCTATTTGGAGATCCTAATTTCACCGATCTTCATTTTTAGTAAAATTTTCATAATTGTCACTCGTTAATAATAGAAGCTTATATGAAAGTTATAGATCTACCCGTATTAAGTTATATTATATTAAAAAATAAAATAATCAAAAAACGAAAGAAGGGCTCAATTTTCTATTATTTGCATTTATCCTCGTCCAAAAATGGTTCCATTCCAAAACCCATGAAAGAATGGCGATCTTGGACTGATAATATACCCACCACCACAAATAGCAGTACAAGCGACTCTTATTCGACTCCATTGAAGAAATCCTTGGAAGCCATCGATGAAGAGAACAACTCCGACAGTATCCTTGAGTAGAGACGTCGAAATTCACTCTTCAGAATCCTTGGCGTTGCAGTTAAATGAAGAACTCCTTGATAAGGACCGGCTTAAGCCATAGAAAAATAAAGTGATCACCTAAGATCCCAGTTGTAGAAAGGCCTCGCTGTTTATTTTGGTTTTTAAATATTTCTACCATAAATAATTAGTACGGATATGAAAAGCTTAGGAAGAAAAGAAGAATAGAAAAATCGATGGTAATATATATGAAAGTTGTACTATGATGCATTCTGATTATAATATATATGTGATTAGGAAGATGAGAAAACATTGATTCTAAATTAATTGATTTACTGGTAGAAAAAAGTCAAAGTTATTTGATTTTGTTCAAAAAAAATAAAAAATCTAACATTTTTTTTAATAGTTATTATACTAAAAAATTATCCAAGAGTAAAGCCTTTTTTTTAAAACTAGGTCTCATTGACACTTTCAAAGATGATACAGCTTATGCATATATCGTTAAAGATTGAAAATTAAGAATTAAATACATAATTACTATAATTACAAGCATCAAGTGGGCGTGCCGGAGTGGTTATTGGGCATGACTAGAAATCATGCGGGCTTTGCCTGCGCAGATTCGAATCCTGCCGCTCACGCTTTCTTTTTTTTGTTTTTTTGTAATTTCAATTTTCTCCTCTTTTACTATTTCTATTGATAATTCATAGAAGATGATTATTTTTAGAAAATAGTAATTATATTGTTTAGTCCCTTGAGTTTTTTTCCCCTTAATCTTTTACCAATTTTAATTTTATTATGTATTATTTATTTATTGAATCTTATTTTCAATTAAATCTTTATCATTAGCTCACGCTTTTTTTTTGTTTTTTTTTGTAATTTCAATTTCTCCTCTTTTACTATTTCTATTGATAATTCATAGAAGATGATTATTTTTAGAAAATAGATTAATTATATTGTTTAGTCCCTTGAGTTTTTTTCCCTTAATCTTTTACCAATTTTAATTTTATTATTTATTATTTATTTATTGAATCTTATTTTCAATTAAATCTTTATCATTATTAAATAATTAGAGAATGATGTTATATGAACTTAAAAATGATAGTTTATATGATGTTATCCATTGTCAGTACACCAGTTTTAAGTGAAGATAAGTTACTATGTACTAAATTATATGAAATGACTGGGGTTTTAAAAAAATAATAATAAATTATAGGTGAGCGAGATGTTTATTTGATTAAGTTAAAATATATAATATTTTTCAATTCAATTAATAAAGTACTTTAACGTTTTTTTAATAACAAATTGGGGGTATGAAAGTTTGAACCTCCGAAGAAATGAGTAGATGTCAATTATCGCTGAGCTATGTTAATGTTGGTAAAGTATTTTGACATTACACCATCAATTTGTAAATTAATTTTAATAATTTTTTAATATTAAAGACTTATTTATGTTAGGGTTTATGGCTGTTCTTGTTGAAAAGTTTGCAAATTTAAACTGGTCTGATTGCTGGGCGTCCAATTCGATATATGCTGAATTAGTGCCACCTTTTTATATTTCCCTCATACATACTTTCCGCTCTGGTCAGAAACTTGATGATGTTCGTCGAATAAATAAATAATGAAAATTCAATAGTTAAACAATGACCTAAATCATTGCAATATCAATGAAATAGTTTGATCATTTTAATGTGCAAATGTGCATTATGTTGGTTCCATATATTAATTTATTCAATAGACTTAATTATTGTTACGTTTTTTTAATACAACATTTGGGACTCAACAACTCATCACGGAGAGATTGATGCCTTGATAAATTAAGTTGATGGGAAAAGAGAGCACACAAAAAATGGTGTGAGTATGGATTCTAGAAATTTAATTTAAAAAAAAAAACATTTTTCACTTTAAAATAAAAATACAGCTTATGAGTATCAGAATAAGCGGAATGTTTAGACTAGAAAATTACAGGTCTAAAATTATACTAATAGGCTCATGAATTGAACATCCAGTGGGCGTGCCGGAGTGGTTATCGGGCATGACTAGAAATCATGTGGCTCTGCCCGCGCAGGTTCGAATCCTGCCGCTCACGCTTTTTCTCATTTCATTTCTTTTACTATTACTACTAATAATTCATTTTTGAAAATAGATCAATTGTGGGTTTTTTTTCCCTTTTTCAATTTTATCCTTAATCATTTACAGATTTGAATTTTGTTATTTATGTATTGAATTTTGTTATTTTTAAATTAAGTATTTTACCATCACTATTTATTTCGAGAATGATGATATATGAATTTAGAAATGGTATTTTTAATTGTCTATTGTCAGTATACCAATATCTTTATTGATGGTATTCCATTCATCTTTCAAAGAGGGCTTTTAATTCCTGCAAAAGGGACACAACAACACTTGGCAAAGAGCTGGATTCAAGATCTTTAGTTACTAGGTAAATATAAGGATGAGTATCCTTTTTGAAAATGTAGCTTAACCTCAAAAGATTTAGCATGTCAGCCAACTATTTATCTTTTTTCTCACTAGATCGCAAGTTATGCTCTTGCTTCTCTCTCCTGCTCTCTTTTTGTCGATGGTTCATGATTCAAGAACAAATTTATAAAAAACAAAAGATATAATTACAACACAAAATAAGATGTTATCAATGTTATAACTTTCTTTCCTTCTATATATGATGGATTATCTCTTTAACCAGTCATACAAATTCAAAACTTATACAAATTTGCTTTCAATACACTTTTTTTTTATAGGAAACAGAGAAGATGGATTCCAAATCAAAAGAGTCCAAAAAAGCAAAGAACAACGAGAGGGAACCCTCCCCAAAGGAGCTATACAATCTAAGACTTCCAAAGGAGCCAAAGGAGAGTCTCACCGTACAGTTCCAAAGGACATAAGCTTTCAATACTTCATAAACGTCTCAATATATCTAATCAACTCTCACGTATTGGATGAATTAACTAACATGGAGCTAATTCTATCTCCATTATCATGTAATACATGAGTAGCATCTACCCAAATAAACAATACAATTTTTTAAGATCCTGATACCTGATCCCTGGATGATCCGAGAAATTTAACAGTAAACAAAACCTTTCGTTGGATAAATAAAAAGAAACAAAATGCATCTGCAAGACACAAGTTATCATTTCATGGCTTATGCATTGTCTATGATTTATGATTTCTAACTAATACATCCGCGGTGAAACATGATAAGACTTCTAATAATTTCTAATGAATGCATCAGTATGCAAATTTTTGCCCAACCATTCTAAGGTGCATGCGTTTTCACAGAATCCACTGTGTGAAGCTGGTGAATTAGATTTCTTAGAGAAGTTTTAGACATATTGTCATGAGAACAAACTTTACAGTAGCCCAAGCAAAACAAAATGCATAAACATACATCAAAGAATTCATTCAAAAACTAATCTAGAGCTTTGAAAAAGAATTCCTAAAGTTTACAACACCGAGACGCTAATCTAGGGCTGCTCTCTAATCACGGATAAGCATAGCAAGACTGTAGTTACAAAAAGAATTCAAGTTTAAACACCAAGATGCTGGAAAACCAAGAGAATTTGACTAAAGACAAGTAGAGAAAAAATTATCCAAACAGCAGAAGACAACAATCAAAAGATTCAAAACCCAACTACTTTTTCTGCTTGACAAAGAAGCTAAGCCTGAGAATATAAATTGAGCAGATACAATTTCCAGGGGTGAAAAAAAAAAGATTTAACCACAAGGCATTGAGTGCAGGATGAGATCATGAAGAGAATCACAACTCCAAGGGTACAGAAAATGTACTCGGGACAAATATTTCAAGAACATTTTAACAGATTCCCAATTAAAGTTAGAAAATAAATGAATCTAACATCTGAAGTTAGTACAAATGACTTATATTAAGCGATATTATGAATAATACAGTAAGTAGAACTGAAGTGAAAGATAAAGTTACATAAAAGCTCTGAGCAAAGAAAAGGAAAACACTTTCAGATAATGTATACTTATACATAACAAGTAACATTCCAATGGGATCTTAAAGAAACCATCATCACTACAATTAATGTTAAGATGTGAGGGTCATAATAATTTCATCTCATTGATCTGGTAAGGAACATCAGTTAAGTTATTGAAATCTTCCCAGATATGCCATAGAAGAAATGGAAAAAACATACTTGATATAATGTATATGGCTGTGGTGGTACATTAGAGCTTCTCAGTCAATCTAACCATAAAAGAGTTAACTGCAGCTGCGTCAAGAACAATCCATGAGGATTCAAATAGCTCGTGGAAAAACTCTGTGCCGATTTCCTCCGCTGCATTTTGAAAAGCTCTCCCAAATCCATTGCCCCGAGCCGCCCCGAGCCGAGGTTTCCCACAAACCCCAACGATCAATACTTTGTTGGGCTCTTGAGATAAGCAAGCACATAGCAAAGGCTTCATTCTGGCTCCTTTCTCTCGCAAAGCATCCATTATAAAGTAGCAAAACTTTGTTAGTGCTTGGGGATACCCCAACAGTTTGGCGTCTATAGAATCTTCCAGCTTCACCCAACGAAATTTTCTCCCACTTCTTATACAACCACTCTTTGTAATTGTAGAGCTCCCCTGTCTAAGAATTGACCTCTGGACCTTGATTGCCCGCTGCATTCCAGCTTTGAGCTTATCAAGATTGCTCAATGACAATGCATCATAAGCCACTCCGAATTGCTTAGAAGCACTAGAACCATCCGCTTTGACAAAGGACTCGAGCAGTGCAGTGACTCCATATACCACATCTGCTGCTGACACTTTTGAGCTATAGCCATGTAACCTCAAGAAACTTCTGTAGTAGAAATCCGTTAGGCCGTACTCGGGCAGGTACCGCTCAAATTCATCCTTCATCTTTTGTTTCACTTCGAGATTCATGTATTGGAACTTTTGCTGGCAATCCACAAGTGCAAACCCCATGCGTGCAAGAAGCAACTTGAGCTTCTTCATCCCATTGTCACTCCATGTCTTTAATTTGGTTGCAGTGTAGGAAGAACAGAGCATTGAATCAAACAAATTCCACTCCTGCAAGAGCATTAATCTGGGTTCATCGTCATAAGTAATTCTAGATGAATCAGGGGCTCGGATCTTGGTGCCATCTTTAAGAGTAACAGAGGTAACGGCATTCAAGTTCACTGAACTGTTTATGTGTTGTTCAAGCTCCATAACCCCAGCTTGGTACCTCTCATCCGTCAATCTTTCATGAACAAACTGATCTGTTAAAGAGACACAAGCCAACCATAGCAATTCATTCGTGTTCTTCCTCAGGGAATGAGACAGATCATACATCAAACACCCCGAAGGCTTGCCATGGAAGGTACCCATTTGGTAGTATCCCTTTTTCAGTTTTCTAAAAAGCTTAAGAGGATCATCTTCATTCTCTTTATCAACCCTCCTTTGTTTCCTCGACCCACTTCTATCATCTTCATCGCTTTCACTATCATTGTCATCATCGCTTTCAGATTCCTCATCAATCTCATCATCGCTGTTTAAGTCGCTCGCATTGGCCAAAGCAGAGACATCAAAATCATAAGCCAAATCGGCCTGGAGTTCGTCATCTCTTGTATAAAGCACAACCACTTGATCATTTTGATCACTCAGATTGTGAAGATGAATTGGGCGATGACTATCGACTACAAACACTAGAGCAGCTGGACCTAGATTCAGAACGTTCCTAAGATCTCGATGGCATCCCCAATTAATTAAAAGAATCGAAATCGGGTCAGCGGACGACGATGACAAACTAGGGCCTGCATATTTGTGAATTTCTCGAAAAGAAGACACGGGATAGCATGCGTATCGAACCGAATCAGACTCAAGAACTTGGAAAATGATTTTCAAGGCACAGAGCGAGTCTACATCAGAAGTGGAAGGAAAAATAAGCAGAGGAGACAATGATGAGGCTGTCACTGAGTCACGAAGTCTAGTGTAAAACAATTCAACTCGTTGCTCCCTCACCATAATCCTTCAATCGGACATTCAGAAATGGAATTTCGCCGCAAAACATCCAAAATCAGGATACCAAATAAATCCCAAAACTAGACACAACTTCAAATCCGTGAATTCCACAAGAACCCGTTCCATATAGGGACTGAAGTTGTCGAATTCTTCAGCCAAATATATTTCTAGAAAGGGAAAAAGATTGGAATGTTAAATTGGAGTAGCTGAAAGTCTAAAACAAATCTCATGATTCTCTAAAAGTTTTATTAATAATAATAAGTTACAATTTTGGGACAAACAAGTCTCGTTTCATCTTTAGTTGAGAAACTCAAACAAATACATAATTAAACCAGATTACTTGAGGTGACCATTCACGTTCACACAAAATAGACATGATACAGCTACTTAGCTGACGAAAATGCACACTGCTTCCAAACACATTCATAAACGCGAAAGAAAAAGGCGAGCTCAAAAGTTTAGCCGTGAACAAACCTTGGATTTTGGAAGCAGCCGATTGAAGGCTAGGGACGATCTAGAGACAGAATTCGGTGTACACTGGAAACTGGAGACAGGGAGCCCTTCCCTTACGGCTTATGCTGTTTTTCTTCGCCTCCCTTTTGCAAACTATAATATCAAATATTAATATATAAATTAAAATGAGATATTATAAAATTATAAATTATTTAATTTAATAATTTACTTATATTAAATTTTGAGGCATTTTTAATGCCAACATGTTTGCAAATATAACTACTACTTTTTAGTTTTATTAATATGGCAAAAAATTTTAAATCACATTTTTCTTTTTATTTGTTATTCAAATTTTGATCTCATTACTAAGTATACTTCGTATTAGATTTATTTTTGATATATCAAGTGTATCCAATAATGTAATTGATATACCTAATATGAAATATATTACTGATGTAGTTGATATATCCATGAAGCATATCAGTCACACTAAGTAGGTAAATGATATACTTTATATTAAATATATCAATTATAAAGTTTTTTTAAATTGAAAATTTTGGTTTAAATAACACTCTATGGTTTTTTTAAAGATATATTTCATATTAGATATATTAGTTATATCAACAATGTAACTACATTAGTTATACACTTATACTTCATTTTAGTTACATTGCGATCCTATGTTAGTTATACTTAATTTTAGTTACATTGCGATATAACTAATGTACCTAATATAAAGTATATATATTATACTAAATATATTGGTGATATACTTCATTTTAAGTATATCATGATATAATGATGATATATCTAATATGAAACATATCACTGAACCACTTGATTTCATGTACATCAATGCAATAAGTATAATTGACTTTTCTATTTTTCATTTAGGTCGTTTTTTTCCTATACTTGCAAATTAGAAAAATAGTTACTTTATTTGAAATTTACTATTAATTTCTTTGCTACATTTGTAAGGCATCATTGGAAATATGTGCATATATATCACTCTCTTCATTAGGCCGACCCAGTCTAAAAAGTGTAGACCCAAACTTACGAAGTTACATGATGTGGATTGATTAATTTGATAATATCGAATTAAGTGAGGTTATCACAAGTGCGATAATTATTCGTATGAGTAATTCATAAGTGTGATATATTATTTGTGTTGATGGTTTAGGAGTTTGTGAAAAATACGATACTATAGTTAACCTTCTCCTATTAGTTTGTATTAGAATCCCAGCATGTAGGAGTGTCCATATAGGCAAAGAAATTCTCCACATCCTTAATCCAATCAGAAACGTTTTGAAGGTCCAACTTCTCAATAAAAAAGACTTGTATGGATTAGGAAAAGATTTTTTTTTTCCTTGAAACCAATGAAAAGCTTCATCCCCTGCTGGAACTATACATTTCTTGATACCCAGGCCATAGATTTGTCTTTCTGTACAAGATCAAATGAAGATTTATTACAATAGATCCATTTAATTGTCATAAGATGCAGTGAAGTTCACCCTAATGAAAATTAAGGGTAAATAACTTGTAAGCTATGTCTACATTGACCAACCTGGAAGCAGCATTAAACCCAAAGAAAACTTGACAAAAATGGAAAATGCATTGCAGTTTCAAAAGCTTTTTTTGAAAGTTTCCCTAAAGAAAAAGAAAAAGTCTAATACCAAAATCTAGAGAGTAATGTCATTTTGCTGCACTAGAAAAGAAATAACATTTGGCTAACTCAACTCTACAAATTAGCCCCTAACTAAACCAACCATTACATTGTTGCAAAAACCATGGCCACTCTCATTCCTCTTTCGTGTTAATTATTGTTTTTTTTTTCTTTGGCATACATGGGTTTGATTTTATTCTTCATTCATTCTAACTTTGCTAACCGGAACCATCAATCTTTCGTTCCATAAACACAACTTCCAATTTACACTTTGACTCTCACCCCTGCTGCCCCATCTCCATCTCCTCTCTTTATTATTTAATCGTTTGTTTCCTATCCTTGTCGACCAGTTCCGGTCCTCCCGCCTCATTGCATCTTAGGCATCCCATCTTAACAAAAATGTCTGGTTTGCCCATTTATCTCGTGGAATACTCCGTCACTAATTTAAGGAACATGGATGACTTATCCTCTAATAGTCGTGTCGGGGTATCGAACTCTGCAATTCTACCTGCAAACCACATTCCAAATAAAGATCTCAGCTGGATTCTCTAAATTTATTTTAAAATAATGCATACTGTGTTATTTTTAGTGTACTAATGTAATGCCTTGTTGGCTTCCAATTACCAGGCAATACTCACCATCACTTAGTACCAGGACCAAGTCACTATCAACTACCGTTGGAATTCGATGTGCAATCGTGCATACGGTGCAATCTCTAAACTCTGTTCTAATAACCTTCTGGATGAGATTATCTGTGGCCATGTCAACAGATGCTGTGGCCTCATCGAGAACAAGTATTCTGGCTTGTCTCAATAGTGCACGGCCCAACGCTACAAGTTGCCTCTGCCCCACACTCCAATTATCTCCATTTTCGAGCACTGCGAGTTAATTGCAAGGATGGTACCATCAAAAACCAAACATGACATATACATTAAGTGCAAAACAAAAGAGAATACGGAGGATAAGTTCCATACACACTAGCTCCAAATACCTGGTGTATCGAGTTTTTGCTCCTTTTCGCGGATCATTTGTCCTAGTTGCGACTTATCCAATGCCTGGGTGACATTATATATAAATCAGAAAAACACATTTTATTTTATTATGACTAAGGACATTATAGGTTAAATTACAAATTTAGTCCCTAAACTTTCACAAGACCGTCTAATAAGTCTCTAAACTTCAAAAAGCATATAATACATTCCTACGCCTTCAATGTTGTGTTTAACACGTGCTTAAACTTTAAAATTTATTGAATAAGTCCCCTAATAAAGGATACCCGTTGGTTTTCATGTTTTATTCCCAATGAGAGTATATTAGAATTACTACTATAGCAATTTTAGTGGAAAAAGTAGGTAGTTAAGTGGAAATTGGAGAGAGATCAAACCTGCCAAATCTCATGATCTGAATGTTCTTCAAGGGGATCGAGATTGCCCCTAATTGTCCCTTCAAACAAAATAGGATCTTGAGGTATGATACCAAGCCGACTTCGAAGGTCATGAAGGCCGATTGTAGAAATATCGATGTTGTCAATAACTATCCTTCCACTTGATGGTTCTACCAATCGGAATAGCGCCTGGATCAAAGTAGATTTACCGCTTCCAGTTCTACCAACAATCCCAATCTTCTTTCCACCGGGAAAGCAGCAACTTACGCCACGCAATACCAACGGAAGATTCTCCTTGTATCGAACCTTGATGAGCAATTTGTCAGTTTTATCTAACAACCATTAGTTTGATACAAGTCTCAAGGATATGCTAAAAGTTAACCAAGAACATGTACTAAGGCCTGACCTCAAGAACAACAATTATTTATCACCTTTTACCCAAACCACCGTGGTTTTCTATCTCAAATTAACATCAAAGGTAGCAAAAGCCTCATATTCTATCAATCTTATTAAACTGGGTTGACGAAATCCAAAACTTTTTCAAGTTTCATAATTAATCGACTTATAAAAAGCATAATAGAAAAGCACTAGAAGTAATTCTTCAGCCTTATTTATGTGGCACACGAACTGGGAAACACAAATGTTCTTGTCTAATAAAAAAAACCAATAATCTCCATAATGGTTAATTTGCAATATAGAAAACAAATATCAGCAGGCAATCCATTGTCAAAGTAGAAAACAGTTCATAACTCCAGAGCTTCAACAATAAATAAGAAAATAGAAAAAAGGAACTTAGTTCTAAGACTTTATAAGATTAAAATTAAACTTTGAACATTTGAAAATATTTCAATACCACATTGAACAAAAAAAATGCAGGCACGCACACTCATAAGCACACTCGTAAGCATGATAATAACCTAGGCAAACCCTTACCTTTAGATCAGTAAGCTCAATAGTTCCATTCTCAGGCCACATGGAAGGCGGACGAGAATCCTCAATAAGTAATGGTGCCTCACTTGGAATTTGGCTATACTGATAAATCCTTTCAATAGATATAATTTTGTTTTCAAGCTTGCAAAAGCTAAGTATCCACCGTGACAGGCGAGCATTTAGGTTTAGACCATATGTTACCGCAAGGCCGGCCATACCTACAAAGGATCACCTGGTTGATAAATTTTCACAATCCAGTCCCCTCTTAAATTTTTCCCAAGTCCAATTTATGTTAGCCCATTTTGACAATTTATATTGTAGAAACAAGGACTCCATAACAGTGTACAAAGACCAAGCATACAAAAATGCATTAAATCTAGAAGAGAATATGTAACATACTTGGATCAATACTCCCATGAGGAAAGCTGACAAGTAAAACCATGCAGAAAGCAAAGACGAAGGTTGAGAGTAGTTCCATGCGAAGACAGAGCCACTCAATAGCTGCAAGACTGCAGAAGAATGGGCGAGAGTAACAATCAAGAAGATAAAGATTTCTCTTCATAAACCGTTTTTCCTGTCCAAAACCTCGTATTGTTGCTGCTCCAGCAATTGACTCGCCAAATAGATTAATAACGGGAGATTTCTGAATGCTTACAATGCGAACAAGCTCCCTTGATGAAGACATGTAGTATTTCTGCACAATAAAATGCTCTTAGTAAGCTCTAGGTCATCAAAATAGAGACTGAACTGACTTTTCAGTTAGTCCTTCTGAAGACCAACAGAATTCTTCAGCAACAGAATTCGAATATTTGGGTTAGCTTGGGCGTGCATCAACTAATCTTATGAAACAACCATTGTGACTCTACTATATTTGGTTGCAAGAAAACTCAAAAAAAATTAAAGAGATCATTAGATAAGAATTTTTGTAATTACCATCTCCAACTATTGCTAACTGGAGAGTCCTTTTGCAATCTCAGACATTCCTCATTTTTACAATCAGTTGTAAGGGCAGAGATCTAGGGTTAGTGTCAATCAATAAGTTGAAACAACTTCGTAAGTATATGTTCGATATAGAAATCGAAAGGATCCAATTCGAGCAAGTTTCAAATTCAAACGTCAAATTTGATCAAAAGTGTATCACGCGAGAATCCATT